TAAAAAAGTAGACATTTCTCGAGAGATAAAACATTGTTTAAAAATTGCACGAGAGATCAAATATTGTTCGAAAATGGCTTGAGAGGTAAAAAAGGATGTTAAAAATTGGTCGAAATATAAAATAGTATTAGAAATTGCTTGAGGGGTAAAATATTATTCAAAAATTGCTCTAGGGATAAAAATTCTGTTAGAAATTTAATGAGAGATAAAAATATTTAGTAATTTTTCGAAAGATTAAATAGTATTATAAATTGTTAAAATCGTGTTCAAAAATTGCTCGAGGTAAAATAGTATTACAAAATGTTAAACCCTTGTTCAAAAATTGCTCGAGGGATAAAATACTATTGAATAATTTGTTGAGAAATAAAATATTATTCAAAACGGTTCAAAATTAACTCAAGAGATACCTATTAGAAATTTCTCGAGATAAAACATTGTTTAAAAATTCCTTGAACGATAAAATACTATTAGAAAATGCCTTTTAAAAGGAGATAGAAAACTCCGCCATTTTGAACCCTTATTACGTGTTGCCTACATCTTGGCGCAATATTTTTAATATTTTGCTTGCTGCTGTCAGTGTCAGTGAATATTATTTTTGGAGTCACAGTTTATTGCTAAAAAATCAGTTAGCTCACTCGGACCAGTTGAAAGTTCCAAAATAACATCCACTCCAGGGATACAAATCCAGGATACGCAGAAGACTGCTGTTTTATTATAGGCGGTTGTCATATATTGTATTATCCGAGTTGCGCAGTGTATAAACTGGAACATTGACATCAAAAGTGCCGACGCAGAGTGAGCGATCTGATTCTTTAGCTATAAACTGTGTCATAGTGTTTGAAGATACCTTTTTCCATTTTTTTTACCATTTTTTGGCTACTGATACCATTTTACTACCATATTTTTAACTTTTAGATTTTTATACTATTCGTTATAATAATACGAGTAAAACATAGCACTCTGCACATCTCTACCTAGACAGCAGACCAAATCCTTTGGATATCTGCTGAACATCCCAATATCCACTGAATGTCCAGTCCATGGTGAATATCTATTTTATATCCATGAGATGTAATTTATAGACATGCAAATGTCCATAAATAATAGTAATTATTAAGCAAATTATTAAAAAATTACGCCATTGTGCTCGCCATTGTGGCTAATAGTACCGTTCAGATATTTAAAATTAATTTTTTTAAGGTGTATTCAATATCCCATGGACATCCACTAAATAATTAAAGTCTAGGCGCGAACGCAAACCATCATCGTGGAAATCCACTAGATGTAATTTTTGATTTTGCTTACTAAGTATAGATGGCGATACCACTTTCGCATCTACTCATGCTTAACCCGCCGTAATTAAGTTCGATCGAAATTTGTTTCCCAATCAGACTCCATTAGAGACTGGAGTCGAGAATTTCCATATATTGCTGAATAGTCCTAATAAGGATGACTTTCTCCTAAGTGGCAAAATCAAAGGCAGAGTGTTGAAAATATTTTTTCTCTGCTATTTTCTTTCGACGTTATTCAGTAAACATTGGTTACTTTTATGAACCTCTACTAAAGATACCCATAAAATATTTTACTGAATATCCGAATTCTTCTATATTCTGGGATATAGAAGGACATTTGGTTGGATATCCATGTTGGATATCGACAAAATATATTCTGTGGATATCTCTGGGATTTCTCGTATTGTCTGGGAGATACCCATTAGATATTTTGCTGGATATCTTCTATATTCTGGATATAGACGGACATTTGGATATCCATATTAGATCCACGGAATATTTCTGATATCCTGTGGATATATTGGATATCCACAAAAGATATTCTGTGGATATCTCTGGGATTTGGTGTGTTGTCTGGGTACTCTACTAACAAGAATGGTCTTACATCTCTACTTAAACACGCCCAATAATAGACAATTACAAAAATGTATTTATAATCGGAGAATTCAAAAATGAAGAGAAATATATGTGGTCTATTAAAAAAAATCGATGACGTCTAGCTGAAAATAAAAATTGACCATTGAAAGCATTTTGTTAAAATACTGTTAGACAGAAAAATATCGAATTTGTTACAACCTATACGTCCTCCCAGACAACACACCAAATCCCAGAGATATCCACAGAATATCTTTTGTGGATATCCAATATATCCACAGGAAATCAGAAATATTCCGTGGATCTAATATGGATATCCAAATGTCCGTCTATATCCAGAATATAGAAGATATCCTAATGGATATCCAGCAAAATATCTAATGGGTACCTTCCAGACAATACAAGAAATCCCAGAGATATCCACAGAATATATTTTGTGGATATTCAATATATCCAATATGAATGTCCAACCAATTGTCCGTCTATATCCCAGGATATAGAAGATATTCGGATAATCAGCAAAATATTTTATGGGTATCTTTAGCAGAGGTTCATAAGTAATCAATGATTATTGAATAACGTCGAAAGAAAATAGCAGAGATAAAAAATATTTTCAACACTCAAAATATTTTCAACACTCTGCCTTTGATTTTGCCCACTAAGGAGAAAGTCATCCTTATTAGGACTCTTCGGCAATAAATGGAAATTCTCGACTCCAGTCTCTAATGGAGTGATTAGGACACAAATTTCGATCGAACTCAATTAAGGCGGGTCGAGCATGAGTAGATGCGACAGTGGTATCGCCATCTATACTTAGTAAGCAAAATCAAATAACATCTAGTGGATATCCACGATGGTTTGCGTTCGCGCCTAGACTTTGATATATTTAGTGGATGTCCATTGGATATTGAATACACCTTAAAAAAATTAATTTTAAATATCTAAACGGTACTATTAGCCACAATGGCGAGCACAATGGCGTAATTTTTTAATAATTTGCTATATCATTACTATTATTTATGGACATCTGCATGTCTATAAATTACATTTCATGGATATAAAATAGATATCCACCATGGACTGGACATTCAGTGGATACTGGGATGTTCAGTAGATATCCAAAGGATTTGGTGTGCTGTCTGGGCTCATTGTATAATATATGTTACTATAGTTAAATTACTAAGGGCCGATTTCACCGTTGTGTTAAATGGAGATTCAAATGACATTGTTAAAGTAAAAATGTAATTTTAAACTTCGTTTAACACAACGGTGGAATCGGTCCTAAAAGATTTATAAATACAATTTTATTAATACAAAGAGTACTGCGTAACTGGCAAATTTGCTAAGTTCAGCAAGATCATAATGATCATGTTCCTATTTTTCCGTTCTTAATAATACTTTGTTATATAAATCATAGTTTAAAATAAAAATTTTATACTAATTTTCATTTTTGTTTGTTCATTATATGTGTAAAACTTCATTATTTGGTGTTATCAAGATTATTCTGGATACCATTTTTTGTCAGTAAAATACCATATTTTTAAGTGCCGGATACCATTTTTTTTTTTTCATCTGGCAACACTGCCCGGAAGTAATATAATAAAATCCTTTTTCTGCAGCCGTCCCGAAAATAGAACTTTCGGTATGATTTATTAAATCGAAAGTGAAACTTTACACAAATCGTACCGAAAGTAGCTATTTTCGGAATGATTTTTTCAATATCTATGTAGGCGGCCTTAGCAATGACATTTACGGAATTTTTATTATGACATCGCTTGTCAAAATAAATTTGTTGATAGTTCCACTGTATTTTCAATTTTCCGATCCAGAAATGGAAATCGACTACGAAAGTGACGAGGAAATGATTATTCCACATGAAATCAGTGAAGCTGCTAAAGTCGCTACTTATGAATTGTTGCCAGTAAAGTCAAGAGAGAGTTATGAAATGGTCTATAATTTATTCCAAAAATGGCAAGATGATAAAAATTAATATCTCGAAAGCTAGTACAAGTACTGCAACGTCTAATACTAATTTCAACACAGCCATTTCTGCTAATATTCCTAATACTATTAATATAAGTAATTGTTATAATTGTACATTTAATGTTCATAAGTAATATTTATAGTATCTATCCCTATTATTTTTTAATATTTTATCTAATAAACGGCTGCAGAAAAAATATTGTACGTAACGCTACCCAAAAGTGATTTTACGGGACTCGCAGGCTTCCAGGACTCGCCTACGGCTCTCCCTGGAAACTGCCTACTCATCCCGTAAAATATCACTTTCGGGACTTGTTACGTAAATAACTATTTCGGACAGACTATTAGAAATAGAATAGCGTTTAACGACCGATATGTCTTTTAGACCAGCACCTTTCACACTTTGCTGATTAAAGTCAAACAAACAATTTGAAAACTTTGAAACCGCCTAGCGCATTAACGTTACCAATTAATAACACTTGGGGTCGTTTTTCATCCATCTTAGGTGTTTGTTTTGATTTGTAGATGCTCTTACAATATTGTCACCAGTTGTAGAATTAACTGGAGAAACTGGAACATAGTTTAACTGAGAAGCTTTTAGTTTATAGTCATCAACTTTTTTGCGAAGAATTTTTAACTCCGATGTTAATAAAATTTTCCCATTGTCCAGAGTACTTATTGAGCTTAACAGCTGTTTGTTAATATCTGATAAATCATTCATGTTCATCTTAAGTTTATCATGTGATAGAGAGGATTCGTGTAACTTTGTAAACGCTCATTGTTATCCCTTAACTTAATCAATTCTATATTTAATTCCGCAATTTGATATCTTTGTGAAATTAAGCAAGCATTTAATTTGTCTTCGATATCCGTGACGTCATCGGTGAAATCGGCTGATTGTCTTTTTAATCTTTTAATAAAGTTATCTTTATTTGTCGAGTCTTTTTCTATTTTTTTTATGGTTTCTTCTAAACTTTTAATAACGTCATTAGCCTTAGATTGACATCTATTGGAGCAGTATATTTTGTAGCTAGAAATTCTCACCACTTCGTTGTTTCTCTCCAAAAAACTGGGATGAAATATACTGAGGCAAGAAACACAATGAGTCTTCACAAAGAAGATAATAAATACCGCCTTTTCAATTAGAGGAATTGAAATGCACTTATACACTGGAAAATTGCTGTAGTTTAATATAGTTTTGTAATGTCAATTCACTACGAAAATAACGTATCCTTAGCACAATCATTTGATGTAAAACACAGTTTATTTAGATTAAAGAAAACACAGAAAATCTCACTTAAAGTTGGAGCACTATTGAACCATGTCTACAGAAAGAATGTTTTGTTATATATTAGGAAACTTAAGGTTGAAGAAGAACATCTATTTTTTAAAGATTACTTAAATTTAATAGTTATTGATGTTTCTACTATTTGTGGACAAAATGATCTTAATTTTTTTAAAAACCGTATTTAACCGAAAGATAAATGACCATTTAAATGTTCGAACAATATCCTCCGCAATTATTAAATTTAATGTTTGGGAGGCTTTGGTTAAAGCAACTCCAAAAAATACTACAGATTTGATCATAAACAAGTATAAACAAAAGTTTCATAATAAATATCTGAAATAACATATAGTGGTTAGGGTTCGCAATAGAAGTCGAACTTTATTGTTGAGCCAAGTAGCTTGCCACAGAGACTTAAGAGTATCTACCATTAGCTTTACAAATTAATCAAACAAACACTAATTATGTATACACTTAATTAGCATTTATTTACAAAAAATAACTACAATTCACTTTACACTTAATTTAGATAAATTTAAAGTTTCTATCTTTGTATGCCACCTCTCCACGTCTATATTTAGCCTCTAGTTCGGTTCTTTGTTTGTACATCAGATAGAAATATCCCATCATGGGTATGACCAACATACCCATTCCATAAACAGCACTTTTTCCAGTTGGTTTGAAGTACTCAAAACCACTTACTTTCATTGCATTGTATCTTTGTATGGCAGGGTCAAACTAAAAGAAAAATAAAAATTCAGACAATACAATTTTCTTAATAATTTCAAGGTCTTATTGCAATAACAATAGATTCTTATCTCATAGAAGTATGATTAAATGTAAATATTTTAGCTTGTTATACCCTGTACCTTATAAAAGAATTAAAATGAAATTAGGCATTCCAAGGACCTGTCAAACAATAGCTGCTAGTGGGAAGGGCTCATAAACCTAAGGGGGTTGTGACATAGCCTTCTATCTTTTATTTTTTTATATTCTATTTTTATTTGAAATGGTAATTGCCAAGCCTGACAATTTATAGAAAATGCATAAGCAGTTTTTTTTATAAAAAAATTTTCATTGTGTTCACGATAAAATATTTAAATTTAATCCATTATTTATGATATCACATATTGTAGAAAAATTACATCATATATTGAAACCCTTTAGACATACCAAACCTTAGCACCACTTTTCATTTGTTTGGAATGCCTAATTGTTTTATTTAAATTTTATTAAAACAAAAAATATAAATTACATTCACATGCTATTTATAAGCAATTAAACTAAAAAGTATTCCACAAAAAAAATCTTTCTAAAGTAGGCCATGACCGACAAAGACGGAAATATAGTCATGGCTATGATAACCATGCATGGCTCTGAATTAAATCAAAATTGACATTTGAAAAGAATAATTGAGCGTTCTGACAACCTATCAAATAAAAGCTGCCAGTGGGAAGGGCTCGTTCTCTAAGGGAGTTGCAACATGGTCTTGCATTTTGGACCCGATTTTTAATCAAAACAGCAGTTGCAAGCCTGCCAATTTTTTAAAAATGTGGAAGCTGTTATAATTTAAATTTAATTCATTATTCATGATTTCAGGTAAAATACCAACCTTTCCCACCGATAGTTCATTTGTTTGAAATGCCCAATTGTAAAATCTGACGAAATATGAATTTTTCCAAGGCCTACTTTAGAAACAATTTTTGTGTATCACTCCCATTTACTAAACAAATAACAAATTATTAATTTATATAGGTTTGTTAAATATTTAAAATAAGTTTCCAGTTTTTGTTCCTTAAGCCTTAACCTTATTTCAAATTAACCAAGAACAGATTATAAATAAACATCCATAAAGGAACAATTTGCAATCTACATTAATTACTACAAATACCCTTTATTCTAAAACTACCCAGTCATCTTTTTAAATGCCCAAAATGTTTATGTGAATATTGTGTAAAACTTATGACATAACACCTCTAAGCTCGAAATGTACTTACAACTGCACCTCCTTCTCCGGAGGCATGTTGGAAAGGGTTCGTTTTTAGCTTTAAGTATTCTTGACGTAAAACAGCCCTTCTCTTGGCTTTTTGTTCTAATAAATTCCGGGCTTGTTCAGTTAAATCATAGGTGCTGGGCCCAGACATCTTGATTGTCAAAACATTAACCCCAAAAATCGAACATTACGTTGTCAGTTGTCAGCTGTCACTTTTGCAGCAAAGATATTTTATCGCAAGACAAACCGACAGACAAATAAACTGATGCTAAGATATAACAGGGTGCCTATTCTTGAAATCGGGGAGTGAGAAATATTGAGAGAAAATTCTCACTTTCTACTCCTTTGTAAAAATTCGTATTCTTGAAATCAAATTCACCAAAATTGATGGAGAATTTTCCCTCAAAACTTTCTCCTACTTTTAGGTACAGAGAATGAAATTAACGAGAGAATTCAATTCACAAGCATGCTCAGGCTTGTCAGAAATTAAATAAAAATCAAAATATTACATAACCTCATTGATGTTGTTAGTAGTTTTCAGGTATATTTATACATTTGCGCTATTTACTTTCCCTTTAAAAGTAATAGGTAGGTACCTACCTCCTACAATCATAGTTTTTAACTGTAAATAAAGACGTTTTAAAACTAAAACTAAACATTTAGAAAAATATTACTTGAATTATTGCCAAGATATTTGAATTTTTAGTTTGATAATTATTTAAAACAGTTAATATTATTTGATCCACCAGCTTGTGGATTGAACAATAACAATGTGAAACAGAAAATGGTTATTATAAATACTCCCGAGTGAGATGAGAAATAAAAATGGCTGCGCCCATAGAGTCGCATCTTGTTCTATTGATACAATATGCACATTGGCTTTCTACCCCACTCCAGTTCATTGGGCCAAACCGAACGCTACTATCTACAGTTTAATCTAATCCTCTATCACGTGATAAAAAATTCACAACATCTCAGATGCATCCGATGTGGATATTCAAACGCACGAAATGCAAATGTAGACATACTGATATTTCTGGTCTAGTTATATATGGTCTTTGACTGTAAACAGTATAGGTTACGGTGTTGCCATGTATATGTATAACCTAAATTATACTGAAATTTTTATAATTAAATTGTTGTATGCCTAAAATTGTTAAGTATTTTTGATAAACACCAGGAGATACTTGATAGAACTAGCATCTAGTAGTTAGAAATACAATTTTAAAGTTTATTTTGCATAAAATCCTTCTATAGACAATCTAAAAGTCTGTATAGTATTATGTGTTGCCTATCACCTATTCATGTAGGTAATTATTATTTGTGGTAAAACAATCTTTTTTACACTATATTTTCTAGACGAGTAGTTGTTGCTGTTGTTTTAGTTGTCCAAAATGTTAGGTTTGTTCTGGTTCTCAAAATGAAAACGGTTTTGAAACTGCGCCAGGCCGTGTGCTTAAAGGCAAAAAAATTAATTGCCAGTGGGAAGGTTTGGTAGAACAGAAGTAAAAGTTGGAAATGCTTTTGCCAGTTCTCCCACTTTATACACATAAATTGACAGGTTGGCACCGGATCTCACCGAAGTGGACGCGATACATTGGCGTACAAAATTATTTTATAGATTTTAATAACAATTTCGAGTAAATAGTTTAATAAATTGTGAATAGCTGTTGAAATTTTGTAAAATTATAATTTGAATATTATAATACATGTTTAATAATTATTTATAATCCATAAATACATGCGATTGTCCGGTTCCGCCGATAACAATTTAAAATTACTTATTCTATGAAACGACACTGGCAGGTAAACATTACTGTGAAATTCTCGGAGTCGCCCGACGTGGTTTGACGTTTACCCCCTCTCTACCTACCAAACGACTTTTCAACTTTTACTTTCTCTATATATCTAAGAGTTGCGACATATACGATGTATTCTATCACTATACGTAAAATCATGAATAATAGATTACATTTAAATATTTTATGTCAAACACAATAAAAATAATGTTTAAAAAACTCGTTTATACATTTCTTCATAAATTGGCAGACTTGGCGACTACTATTTCGAATAAAAATAGCGTCCAAGATGCAAGACGATGTCGCTACCCCCTTAAATATACAAGAACTTCCCACTGGCACCTATTGTTTGACAGGTCGTTGGAATGCCTAATAAGTATCCGGGTCCCCCGGGTTTAACCCGTACACGTTTTGGGAACCCCTCCCGGGTTCTCCCCGGACTACCTCCAAATTAGGACAAATCCATAGGGATGACAACCCTATGTGACACGACCCGATGTATTGAAATTATGGGCAAAAAGGAAAAATGAACCTCTAGGACAGGATATAGAGTCAATTTACCTGTGAAAAAATCAGTTGATCCAATTCGATGACCTGGTGATGACTCCATTTCAATTTCTCCCAGGCTAACTTGCATTTTTAGTGTGAAATGAAAAATTCTTGAAAATTTTATTTATAATCAGTTTTGAAAAATTTGAGTACAACCATCCGTTCGGCCCATAGCGCTCGCGAAATGAAAGAACTGCAAAACATGGAATCGTGGCATTCAACGATAAGACATGCCTCTCTTCAGGATGCTCTAGAAGGTAAACTATAAATATTAGGGTAGTACAATCGTGGGGCTTCTCTAGGAGCCCAGGTCCGACGGGTTGACCGGCCTGTGGCTTTTTCCCCAGATAAGAAAGAAATACATCTAATTGAACAGGATCGGCTCAAACGTAGTAGGTTTTTGATACACCAAAACGTGAACTGGACACCGAAACTGTTCAGTAAAAGAAAAAAGGAAATAAAAACGGCGCGATATAGCAGAAAAGAAATATAAAAGAAGAAATAATGGAACGTATTTTGGAATAAATAAAAAGGAAATTAGACAGTGTGGAAGGAAGAAACAAGAATAAAAGGAAAGCTAGATTATCTTCAAAAAAATTAATAGAAAACAAAAACGAAAATCAAGGTATTAAAAATAGCTTAGGGTAGATCTAAAGCACAAAAAGAAAGAATAATAGAGCTAGAAAGGGAAACTAGGAAAAAGAAGATGAGTTCTTTGGAATTATGAGGAAACTGATAAAGAGGATATGTTAATTATGAAAAATAAAACGAAAAAAGTGATGGAGAAACTCGCAGTCGAACTCAATGAAAAAGACGACATAGATGAAATAAGAAATCAAATTGAAAACAAAGTAAGGCCAATATTAGTGGAATTCAGGGATTAGAGAAATAATTAAGTCAGCCTTGAAGCTAAAAGCTAAATAAAGATTATCCAAAAGAAATTCAAGAACAGCATAAAATACTGTGATGTTTGTTTATTTTCAAACAGCAGTTTATTTATTAATAATTATTTAAACACTTATTTATTTTAAACAATACTATTTTAATTTATATATACTTCGAATGTCTTTAAACTGATCACTATTTATATTCACCACTGTCTATCTACTAATTACTATTTATCTTCACTGTCCATATATCAACTGATAACTGATGGCTCTCCTCCACCAATTTATATACAAATTGGTGGTCTAGAATGCTCCCCCACCAAAATTGCCAGAAGGTGCCAGAAACGTTATATTTAGACTAGAAATAGTATCTCGTTAATTCTGGAATATTCGCGAAAGTGTCTCCACCATAGTCGTCCCATAGGTTTGGTCTTAAGGGGTTTAATTATGTATAATAATAGGACAAGTTGAGCCTCAAATGCCAAATAAGACAGAGAAGGACTTGTAGGGCTAGAGCATGACTGAATAATGAAATGGCTCACATAACAATACTAAAAAAGCATATGAAGGAAGCCAACATTATATATACATATAGTAGAAGATTTAAGTTACGGAAAGATTTAAAATAATTAAATAATAAGGCAGCTAGAAAAATAAAAATACTTTTGCAAGATTGCAAGAAAATTAGTGACCAGAACAAAATCTACAAAGGCAAAACAAAGGGAATTTAAAATAAAAAAAGAAGTGATACTGGAAGATGAAGATTACAAGCAGGTGTGGATTGATTACTTTAAAGATATCTTAATCGATCCGGAAATGGAAGAATCTGAGATCACAAAAGAAGAGGAAATAGATAAAAGGGATACAATTGCTCATCCAACCAGAGAAGAGATAGAAAAGGTCATTTGAAAAATACAAATGGAAAATCACCAGGAAAAGAAAGAATTGACATCGAACTCATTAAATATGGAGGCAACGAATTGAAAGAAAGACTATTATCTCTAAATCAGAAAATAACGAAAGAGGAAAAAATGCCGAGAGTGGGAAATAGGAGAGATGATAACAATTCATAAAAAAGGTGACCAACAAATATGTCAAAATTACAGAGGAATAACACTTCTTAATACAGCTTACAAAATACTTTTAATAGTACAATAGTGCAATAAATGGTTTCAGCTTTTCGACCCCAGTATTCCCCTTTATGTTTAAATGCAGATTGGCATTAGGTTTGATCAATCTAATGCGCTCCACACATAAAAGTGTGCGAGAGAAAACCGCCTATGAAGGTACTTGTAGTAACATATCCAGGAGTTTTACCAGTGTATGTAAACTGGCTATACTGCGGAATGACAAAATTAGCTTTTTGTTCATCAGCTGATTTAGAGGTTTTTTTATGAAATTGCGACCACCAGTTTTTGAAATCTGTGTCAAATTTGTATACGAAACGAAAATTGAATAAGCCCTCATCGCTCGTATGATGTTGGTCGGTGTATTATTCTTTTGCTATGTGTTAGACCTATGAATTTTAAACAATTTGCCTATCAGTTAAACTTACCGTTTTCGGCACTTCTATTGTTCTTTCACTCACCGATTCAATTTTAAAAGAAGTAAAAATTATGGGACTAGAGCTAAACCAAGAAAAAACAAAATCATGAGATTAGATTAGCAGCGTCAAAAAGTATTAAAATAGGAAAACATGATTTCGAAGAAGTGCAAAAATTTATAAAAACTTGGGAATCTTAATAGCTAAAACTGAAGACAGGAAACTGGAAATATCGGAAAAAATAGTGACTTAGTCACTACCAATAAAGCCTTCCACGCAAATGAAGAATTATTTAGAAGCAAATTACGCACAAAAAATACAAAAATGAAAATATACAACACAATAATCAAACCAATATGTACGAAGCAGAAACAATGAGTATGAAAAAAAAAGGAGAAAGAAGATCTAAGAATTATGGAAAGAAAATTATGAGCAATATTAGGACCAATTAAAATCACAGAATACATCATTAGAACAAATGAGGAATTTAAACAAGAAGACATATCAAAAAATAAACAATCAAGAGTTAGATGGTTGGGACACGTTTGAAGAGCAGGAAATGAAACATTGGTACATTCAATGGGACCCCGGAGATAGAAGGAGACGTGGAAGACCCAGATCAGGATGGCTGAAGGAAGTGAAAGAAGATCTAAGCAGGACAGGAGTGAATAATTGGCAAGAAAAAGTACAGGATATGGAAAAATGGAGCGACATTGCAGAGTATTATCCAAGATAATGGGATTGATCCTCCCAAAATATGGATATAGATAACGAACAACGGCTTAGCCTCACTAGAGGGTTTTTGGCCACATTATATATAAACCCCTGTCCTAAATGCTTCTTTGCTTGGGCTATACGCTAAGTAACAGTAGATTTTTAAGTGCGTTTTATTTACCTAAATTATGTAGTTTTTGAATTTTAATAAATATATCGCTAAAGTAAGTAGATAACATGTATCAAGTATGATATACAGTGTGTTCCATAAAGTTGGATCCATATGGGAATTTTTTTAATATTAGGATTGAAATAGGCCTTAGGGCATTCACTTCTCCTTCTCCATTGCATTAGTAAAATTCGTTTTTTTTTTTTTGAAAAATTGTTCAAAAATATTTTTTTAATTGCGAATTTGATAGAAAACTAAGATCAGTAGCCAACTTTGATGTGTAATTTAAGTTTTTAAATAATAGCCCTACGTTTTTTTCCAATCTTAAATTTAAAAACAAAATCACATAAGGGCCCAACTTTATGGCACGCACTGTATAATCGTTTAGTAACCAATTTTAAACTTTTTTTCTGACCTACAAACAATATTAAGAAAAACAACTAAATACAGTAAAAATGTATGTCAAATTTGATGTTTTTGTAAAGTTTACTTTATTGCATCACATTAATTTGGCGTATTATGAAATAAGGAAAAGATACTATCAGAATAACTATAAATATCCGGGACTATAATTGCTCAATATCATTTTTAATGTGGTAAAATTATAAAAACTGCCTAAAAAATTATCGATATTCTATATAAATACTCTGAATTGCTCGATTCCATATTTAATAGCTTGGTAAAATTGATATAATTTGGGAAACCACTCGATTTAGTAATAGGTGATATATTGAAATATTAAGTAACAAAAAATAAAAACGCCATGATCAGTTTAAAGTTGTTTTATTGCAATAAAACGGCACAGCCTCTATAAATAAATGATCGTAAACGATAAAAATATACACATTCACAACTAAATGACGTTTTTGACAAAAAAAAAAACATCATTAGCTGACACACAAAACGACTTAAAAATGGTATAAATGTTATAAAAAAAAGGAACTAATAAAGAATGTCAGAAAAAAATAGTAAGAGAGCTAATAATTTCGAAAAACTATTCTAATTTTTTGATTTGGAAATATATTATACGAGAGGATAACTGGCTTGGGTAGCAATACCACAAGCATTGTTCTTATTCCTGGCCATTTTGATGTAACCAGATTGTCCCCAGCTAGGACCCCAAGAGTTTTTGACCAACCAGTAATCTACGCCATTTTCGTCTGTTCCGTAACCCACTACTAGGACTCCGTGGTCTAATTCGGTTGAACTGCATTCGGGGTCTGAGTATACTCCTGAAAAAAAAAAAAAACATTTGATCTACAATCCTGTACTGCCCTTTATTTTTCAAGCTTAAAAATGTTGAAAATTGAATTTGGTGAGATAAAATACCTGTTGAATTTTCACGTTTCAACGCATCAGTCAGAAAATGAGTCAAACTATACCCCAGTACCGAAAGTTTTCAAACTGACGTCATCTGTAAATAGATGTGTGTGTGTCGAACAGGAAATAGGGAAAAATTAGTTGTTCAGAGGCGCGTAACCTATTTTTTTATAATTTTGTTTATTAATAATTTAATTTTAAAACTCATTGTAACAATTTTGAAATCTATTGGCACATTTGCACATCGTCCGAGGTATTATCATTTTTTTAAGGGGTGTTTTGCTTCTTTTACCTGAAGGTGATTTTAGCATGACCCCCGAGATTAAAATTTTTACAATTCATGAGCCTTTTATGTAAAAAAAATATGCTTAAGAAGAAATTTTTATTTGCAATGGCCACCTCCGAAAATTCGGCCTGCAGCCACCTTTGGATTTTAGTCCAGCCGTTCTTCGATTTATTACTGATAAATCTTTCAACACGTTATCAATGGTATAACTTTCGTTTATCCAGGTTTCATCCAAATAATAAATGTGTTTTTCATCATTCCGCTTTTCCTATTTTCTTTCTTTTTAAGATAGAGAAGAATGTCCTTTGAATCTCACAAATATATGAACCAAAGGCGACAATCTCCTTTTTTAAGAATTTTGGATGAGAAACTGTTTATAAGTTCCCAGGAAGATTGTTGTTTTATTAATTTTTATTTTGTTCCGTGTTAAAGAAATAATGCTGACTTGCATAAATATTAAAAGTTAATCATTTATTTTAATAAATAAGGAAAAAATTGGAGTTTGCCTCTTCTGCTACTCAATTTACGAGATTGCCATGTTAAATTCGAAATATGTGCGAGATTAACTAATTAACTACTAAAATACTAAAGGGTTGTTTATATTATTTATTAATTGGTAAACAGATAATATAAATCAGTGTTCATTAAGCTAAATTAAAACAACTGGTAACTTTTTAACAAATTCGCAGTCTGCATAAACCAGCAAAACTAAACAATGTGGTAAGCGCGAAAATTATCACTCTATATTGGCGATTTGAGATTTTGCTGGTTTTGGTACCAACTGGCATGTGAAGATTGCCAGGTTTGAAACTAATCCTGAATTAGCATCTTAAGGAATTTGGTTCGCGTTTTTATTATAATCGCTTATGCATGTTAAAGCTATATATCTAGCTGTTTAACTAGTTTTCGAAAAATATGGAGATTGCCGCCTTTGGTTCTAGACCCCTATGTATGCGATCGATTTCATCTTCTGGTACGCTATAATCTCTTATCCACCACAAATTACAATTCAAAATAATTATTTTAATAAACATGTATACATATACCATCTAGATGGGCTCCAAGCTCTACGAGTTCGGTCACCCAAAAGCAGTCCCACGTTCCTGAGCTGTGATCGGTTTTTTAATACCTTTCAGTGAGCCTGCCCTGGTATTAAGTTTTCGTATACTACACTTAAATTTCATTTTGGCCGTACTTCAAATTAAAACGTATCTCGATATTTTTGGAAAACTATTATCATTTTGTAATTAAGACCTAATTTTTGTTTCGAAAATAAAATTTATTATTTTTATTTACGTCCCATCGGCTTCGATTTTTAAATTTTTCGTAATTCAGTTTCTAATTTGTTCTCTTTTAAAAAATTTAAAAACTGTAGTTATTGACCCTTTTATGAATTCGGAACATATTTTAATCCGAAACTTTAAGTTGGAAAATCATGTGCTAATATCATCCATCATAGACGTTTCGTATCATTTTATGTTCACCTGGAGATAAATTAGATTGATTTACTCTTTTTGCGGTGTTACTACTACAACTTGGTATACTCACATCCATGTTACAATACGTTATTATAAATAAAAGGGAAATAATTAAGAAACATATTTCACTTCTTCCAGCCGAAGCCAATAAGTGAAGGGATAAGAATCTGTTCTTAGAAAAGCATACTACACACAGGATTCATTTAATTAAGTTGTATATATTTTACTTATTTGTACCCAAATGTTTTTATATATTTTACATTTACTTTTGATGACTGTAAACACAAGTGATACAAATAAAAATAATTTTTTATGAGGTGTTTCATAAGTATGTGTAAATATTCTAAAATATGAAATCCAAATCCCTTAACAAAATATTGCTCCCTGCCGAGTTTTATAAAAATTAATTTTGATCGTTATGTTAATACTGATTAACATTTATTTGTGATATTCAGCAGTAAGTTTAAGTGTGAACTGTATCTTATGACAATAAATAATATTAAAATTAAATGTGCAGCCTTGTTTAACTTTAAATATATCCAAAAATAATGTAACCTACCGCAGGTATCTTCATAATTTATTAATTCAATTTTATTAAAGAAAGTTGCATTCTTAATAAATACAATTTTCTTCATTTTTACGAAAAATCTTTTAGATAATTAAATCCTATCTATGATTCCTAATAAATAAAAGCAATATTCCTGTTCGCCCTGGTCTTTAATAACCAGATAAGATTAAAAGTTATCCAATGAGAATTTCGAACCAAAAACCTCCACAGAACATTTATTTTCATTTCCATCATTTAAACATTTAACGTGCTTATCTTAAATAACCCCTGTAGCACGAGATATTGGACCCAGACTGGTGCATTGTAGGTCCAATATTTATAAGTTGGGCCTATATTGAACTTTTTTAACCAATGTTTGTGATTAAAAAAGTGTTTTTTTCCGCAGGATTTTACTTAAAAAACGGTAGCTTTAAAGCTTTAACCATAGATCGGGATTAAGTGGCACCAAATTCAGAAAATTACAATTACTGTGGGAAACTAGTAGCTATTTTTAATTGACATATTTATTTGTGTTTGCAAGTTTTAGAGGATTCCATTTTTTCTATTTTTCTATCTACAGATAAATTATTCCTAATATATTTGATACTACCTAATAACTTAAACTTTTAACATACAGGGTGATTCACGGTGGACGGCTTATTAGATGTTTACTGAAAATCTCTAACCTGAAGTTTTTGAATTTTTCAAAAATGCTTTCTCGATTTAAAATATTTTCAACATTACACTGCTGCCGCATCTACCTAAAAGTAGCAGCAACTTCGTTATGTTAAATGGAACACCCTGTATATTTTCGTATTTTTGAATCCTCCGAAAAATTCTAAGATTGTTTTATATTATACCATAACCCTAACCCATTATACCCTAACTCAGCTATTTTCGAAAATGGTTAAGTTAAAAAGTATATAGTATAAAACTTGCGTAGAACTCTTTAGAGGATTCAAAAATGCATAAATATAGAGGATTTCTCAAAAATAACGAAGTTGCTGTTACTTTTTGATAGATGCGACAACATTGTATTGTTGAAAGTATTTTAAATCGACAGAGCATTTTTGAAAACAAAAATCACCATAGTGGTCCACCACGAATCTCCGTGTATTTTAGTTTCAGTAGAATAATTTTAAATTTAGATATTTTTTTAAAGGGGCAGTGCGTCGACGGTTTAAATATGCAACATAAAAAGAAATAAAGAAGATAGTTTCACTATTTTTGGTAGGCGCAAAGGAAAAAGAGGGGGATGGAAAGCTCGCACTGGTACACTAATCACACAACCGAATGACCAAGAAGAATTTATAATCGCAGCGGAGTAATGGCTCATGTTAAAACTTATAAAACATACTTTAATATCCTCACAGTTCGCAAATGATTTTAGCTTTTGAATTGTAAAAAATAAATATATAATAATAGCATTTTATTATTTCACCCAATAATGGCTGCACGTTTACAGCCAATACTGGTCCAAGACAACTTTTTAATATTGGTCGTACATAAATGATTAGTCTTGGACCCAGGTAAATTTCAGATGTTGGTCCTAGGTAGGGTGTCAATATTGGTTCAACATTGGCTTACAATAATGGGGCTCTATAGAAAAAATCTCGACAAAATATATTTCGACCCTATATCAACTAGCCAGTATTGGACCCAGTGGCGGCTCGTGGGGTGGTTCACAGTGACAGAATATAGGTATCAATACAGATGTATGAAAAAACTTTCAGTGTTTTAGAAAGTTTATAATATACCTTTCTAAAACACTGATAGTTTTTTACCTATATCTGTACCGGGATCTATATTCTGCTACTATGAACCCTCAAAATTTTGGTCACGAGCCGCCCCTGATTGGACCAATAAATGTGTGCTATAGGGGAAGTTCGAATATTAACACCGTTTGCGGCATGATATCGACACAAAATTCCAAGAATCTACCACCTTTTTTTATCCATCTAAATTCTTTCCTACCGGAGTTACGACAAATTTACGTCACAAAACTCCAGTCGAATTTGCTTTTCAAATTTAGTTATATTTTAAGTTCAGTATTTAGTAACTTTCCTAAACCGACGCTCTTCCTCACCGACGCCTTTCCTACCCTACCTGCTACCGACGACCTACATCCCGAATGCTTTCACGTCCCGACGCCCAACGTTACGCCTCCCTACTTTCCTACCTTTCTACGTCCCGATAACCTATCTCCCGAATGCTGTTAGGCCCCGACGATCAACGTCCCACCGCTTGCCTAAATATTTCCTTCATAATATCCGTGATGACTCCCTTCGTCGCGCAGCACCACCTAAGTATTTCCTACCTTGTATCCGTCCCGACGCAGTACCGTAATAAATACCTTCTTTTCCACCACGATGCTAGACGTCTCGACGCAAGGCGACGCTTAACGCTGCGACATACCCAAAATCGACGCCGTCACACCACTAGATAAAATTAGTACATAACTACTAACCTAATGTCTGTAGTGTCAATGGTGAGTCGAAGGCCTTTGGGCATTCAACCCGAAAGACAGTTAGCTATATCTGTTTTTCAATGGATGAATTCAGGGACGTATCGTCTTGGGTTATTTATACATACAAATATAATACAAATATATATACGAGATTTAATTAAAAAAAAATTGTTTTATACAAAACCTATTTTTTATATTTTTGATTGACATCCCGCAGAACATATCACTGTCAACAAACTACATATGGCAACATGATGTGAATGATGTGTTTGTAAACTTTCAAAGCTGAGGTATAACTATCAAATCAGTCAAAAATTGTAAAAACTCGCTTGACTCAAACTCTTGGCCAACATTTAACGTAATACCAAGTTTGACTTATATATGTACAGAGGTTGAATAGTTAAAAGAACAAATTAAGCTACATTTTTTATGAATTAAGTTATAGCTACTGTACAAAGATATATTTCAGATAATTAAGTAACTTGGCCTTTCTGTATTGTCACCTAAAAAGCAAAAAAATACTAACCTTCAGAATACAACTGGAAGGTTTCATGACTGGCATCGATGGCTACAGACACTGGTCCAACAGTAGCAACAGCGGCTTTCAAAGCTTCTTCGTTACCAGAATCGATATCAACGAAACCTTTATCAGTGGCTCCCTTGGACTTGGGGTTGTAATGGCACTTTTCATCTTCAGCCTTAAAGGGAAACAAACCATTATGGAAACCCATAACAAAAGATTGCATAAATGTAATATTACCACTACTCAATTTGTACTTACTTTGTATGGGTAAGAAGCTTCTGTGTCAATACCACGGTTGTCTTTGATGTAACGGAAGGCGTTGTCCATAAGTCCACCGTTGCAACCATTGTTACCATATTTAGTGGAGCAGTCGACCAAGTTTTGTTCTGATAGAGAAATTAGTTTTCCAGTTTTTCTGTAGTTTTGTCCTTCAAGTGAACCAGTCTGATAGAAAACGTGACGATCAGAGAATAATAGTGTCGAAATTTATTGAAAAAATACAAAAGTAGGAAATTGTCCTGGACTATATAACTTGATATTATTTCATAAAACAATAAAATTATAAAAAAAATGGAAACGTGAGATTCTGAATAAATTGTCATTTTTATTAATATAATAAAATGACTAAAGACCGGACATTTTAATCGCGTTCAAATTATTGGTTTTAATCACATAGGCGTCTCATTCTGGGTTCGCTATTTAAGACGGCAGACAGTGCGGCAGATTCTAATACTATCAGGACAAACCTCTTTTTTTTATTAAAACAAGATAAAAAAAGTGTACTGATATATACATAGACATTAAAACTAATACAAAAAAGTGAGATTTTTTTTTATCGTGTACCTATATTCTTTGTCTTTTGAATCATTTTCATTAAACAAATTTAATGTTTTCTTCTCACCAACGCCGAGGATATGTAGGATATTTTACAAAAGTTTTTAGTAACCTCAGATCCTTTAATTTGTGGCCTGAGAAATTTTCCTTAAAAAAAAATAACTTTTTTGATGAAGATGTTAAACTTTTCATAAGCGAGTTTAAGGTGTAGTAATGTAAACGATATTCTGTATGATATTTTTTTTATTATTATCTCTTATATAATTACAAAATATCTATTCCTCAATATTTTGGCGTGGTACACTACTCTCCTGCCTAAAATGAGGATCGAGGACCCCAGCTGCCTCCCCCGAATTTGTTATTTCCTCCAGAAAATTGGAAATTTCTAGCCTTAGCTGGTCCCGATTCATTGTTGGAAAAATTGCATCGGGGCCAAATATTAGGACTCTACGAGCGTTTGGACTAAGACGCTGTAGAGAGGGCCTAAAATGAATGTCAAATAGGCCCATCATATGTTGTCTTATACTTTCTCGATCCATTGTCGGTTAGTTGCCGGTGATATTTTTATTCAAATAAAGTCAATCCTTATATTATATTTATGAATATTTTGGCTTTTATCGATACCGTACATACCGATTTTTTGTAACAAAAAATTTATGTTTTTATTTCCTGTGGATATTATGGTACTTATACACGATGAGACAATAAAATAAATGTCTGTTAAATTTCTGTAATGTATGTATTAATTCAATTGCTCACTCTATATAGGTATCTGTTGGTTGAAAAAATGTAAAAAGATAACAAAGAGTCGATAAACAGGAGATTTGAGAAGAAAGTGTCTTGTAAAAATATCACTAGATTTTTCCAATGAGTATATTTGTTTAGTTCAAAGGGAAAAGTGATAGAAACTGGAAACGTAAATATGGAAAATTTATTATCGGACTTTGATTGTTTTCGTCGTTTTAATGACAACAAATTATACTGCCGCAATTGTGATCAGGTGTTAGTTTTTAATGGAAAGTCAAGTATGACACAACATGTGAAAACACAAAAACACATGCAATCTTTAGAGGGATGTCCAGACAAAATCTTTTATGAAGATTTATGCAACGCATTTGTTTCTGCAAATATTCCATTAACAAAATTAAATAATACAATTTTCAAAAATGTTCTTTGTAAATATACTAAACGTAAAATACCGGATGAATCCACAATTAGAAAACATTATATTCAAAATCAGTACGATAAAGCAATGACGGCAATAAAAACGAAAATTTCCAGCAAATATATTTGGGTTAGTGCAGATGAAACGACTGACATAAAGGGTAGATGTGTTGTTAATGTTGTTGTAGGATTATTAAGTGCTGAAAATACTTCACAACAGTATTTAGTTTCTAGTGTGTTTCGTGAAACTGTGAACGCTGAAATGATTTATGAAATAGTGAAACGTGGATTGAACAATGTAATTGATAATGACGTTTCAAAAGTTTTATTGTTTATTTCAGACGCGGCAAGTGTAATGTTGAAAACAGGGAAACTATTACAAGAACATTTTCCAAACATGCTGCATGTAACTTGCCTTGCTCACGCGTTACACCGAGTTTGTGAGTTTATCCGTGACAGCTTTCCAGACATTAATTCGTTGATTAGCTGTTTTAAAAAAATTTTGTTAAAAGCACCGTCCCGAGTTTCTTTATATAAAGAAATATGTCCGAATATCCCCCTACCTCCACAACCAGTTATTACACGATGGGGAACTTGGTTACAGGCTGTGTTCTTTTTTTCGGAGCATTTCGACAGACTAAAAGTATTTATTTCCAACTTATCAGAGGACGCTCTCTCTATCACTCAGTGTAAAGGTTTAATAACAAAAACAACTTTGCAGTCGGAGTTAAATTTTCTTGCGACTTATTTTTCGTGTCTCCCAGAAACTATAAAATTCCTTGAAACCCGTAACTTACAATTATCGGTTGCTATGGAAAAATTTGAATCGACATTGTTACACTTAAAAAACGTAAAGTGGCCCTTACAAGATAAATTTAACCATAAAATAGATTGTGTTATTAAAAGAAATCCAAATTTACAGACTCTGAAACAAATCTCCCTGAACAATTTTAACGATTATGAAACTGCTTTAAAATATTGTGATTTTGTTCCACATTTTTCATTTGCTCCTGTAACGAGTTGTGACGTAGAACGATCGTTTTCTAGGTTTAAAGATTTATTGACTTCTAAAAGAAGTAATTTCACTGAAGACAATTTAGAAAAATATGCAGTCATACAAACATATTTTTCAAATGAAGAAGATTGATATTAATTTGTATTGTATATATTGTATATAATTGTATATTTGCTACTTTAGGATAAAGAGTGTATATTGGAACACTCTAAACATAAAACTAATGATGGTGTATCCTCGTTGATATATTTATTAGTCAATAATATATTAACAGAAAAAGCCAACAACATTATCCCACAACACAATAAAAAAATAAATAATAATATCATTTGTAATTATATAATAATATCCAACCAAATTTGAACTAAAATTTAATAAAATAATTATTGCAATGTAAATGTAATAATAAGCCCGCCCCAAATGTTACGCCCGGGCGATAAAAATCCAATATCTTATCTACTGTGTCGACCAGTTCAGTAAATAACTTGTTTTATTCAGAATGTATTATTCAAATCGAAGGTCCGCTCTTACCGTTACTTCGCTGATAAGAATAAATTAAATTGTCCGGTCTTTAAAAATGACGCTGACTATATTTTTTATTTAGTTTAGTAGTCCAGTAAAATTTCTATAAATATTGAAACTAAAAAAATACACATATGGGGGAAATTCCTAAAAAAATTGAGCTGGACTAAAATCATAGTTGGATACTTAATTTTCTAAAAAAATTGAAAATTAAAAAATACTTGTCTCAAAAAATTAATTTTATCGAAATTAAGTAAAAAAAAATTCCTGGCTATTACTTATTATTATTGTTTTAATATATATTTTCATTGTTCTAGAAAATTTTTATTTAAAATTAAAAATACCAATTGTTATTATTGACATTGTCACTAAATTATCCTGGATTACAATTTTTGAGATTTTATTTCATAGCCCTGTAATATTAAACACAGAGTTGGAAATGAAAGGTGGTATTAAAATCATTTCTCTCATTGAACGTCGACGATATCTTGTATTAGAAAACACCTGGCCACGTCCTATGCCAAATGTTAATCCAGAAAAAAATGTGTATACTTAGGTTTAATATTATTCAACTTACTGCACTGAAACTCCAGCAAGACCCGCAATGGCCTTGATCTTTGACAGCTGTCACAGCTCCTTGGGTTCGCCAATCTACTTCTTCTGGCATCTTGACATTAGCTGGTGCTATGAATGTGATGGAATCGTCCAATTCCGCTCCTCCCAACATATTCTTAGTCTTGTTAAATCCGTTCAACGCCTGAACGAACTCGCTGTGTAGCAAATCGGCGTATTTGTTCATACCTATTAAAATTAAAAATTAAAATTTTCGAAGATGAATTTAGGTCATTTACTAACCTAATTTGTAAGAAACCAATCCCATGGCATATAATTTGTTATGTTTGGCAACCTTGTGAGAATTTTCCATGAAGATCTTCATGCGAAACCTTTCTTCCGTCGCGCTGTCATATTGTTTTTGGTGAGTCACCTGAAATTCGAATAATTTTTTTATAAATTTGCTTGAATTATAGAAGTTATACTTTTTAAATAGTTAAATTTTGCCGTTCAGATATTACTGGAGGCCGAATAAATAATTATTAAGGTAGAAAATTTTATGTTTCATATGTCTCGTGATGTGTACCAATCAATACTTAAATCTAGATAATACAGGTTTTGTTGTCAAATAAATGTATACTTTTATTTTTCTCTTGATCCCATCTCTTTGTATATTGTAGGAAGAGTGAACAATAATCGTTACCTAGGCGTCTGTTCTTTATTTTACCAATAATTCTGGACAATGTATGAAGTGGGGTGGTAACTCTACAAGAAGGGTAGCGTCGAAATTTTTGTAGTTCTCGATAGGAATTTTAAATAAATAATTAGTAACCTTTAATAAAAATTCTTAATCTATAATTTTTTACTTGGATAGGCTAGCTTTTATAAATTAAGGTTCAAATCCAAATATGCATCTCCAATAAATAAATATTATTTATTTAATTATAATTAAAAATAAGCTTTGAGTTTCAGATTTTATTAATTTTCTTCATAATTTTGTTTTAATAATATTTAATGTATAAATAACAATGTATACGTAAAGTATAAACTGGACCGCATTATGAACTAATGAATTAAGCGACAAAACCCAAAAATCGAGTAAATTGTGTCATCCTTTAATAATCATTGAAACTTATATTACAAAATTTATTCTTAATTAAAATTCCCTATTTTACCTACATGTGTATTAAGCGACATTTTCATATTTACCAAGGAAATACTAGCTTTCTATTCCTGTTTCTCGAAAACTTGTATTAAAAGAGACGGTAATTAGATAGACTACCTAAAGTAAAAATTGTATAAAGGCTTAAACCCCTTGATGGCATTTAGGCAGTACCCGCGAATATAAATGATTTGAACGTCATTATGTTTCCGAATAAGCCAAGGGGCGGAGACTTCTTATGTGTCACTGTGTCAGTTTGAAACTGATACTATAAGCTAAAAGTTTGTTTATATCTATATTTTTCTGGCGTCTTACATATCACTACTTCAGATGTAAACTGCACTATGACATTCTAGTAGTAGAGCAGATTGAATTTTGTTTGGATACCTTGTCATCCATAATTACATTATATTATATCCAATTATTGTCATCATATTTATGTATTGTTTACTAATAAAACTTCCTTTTACTTCTCTCGATAAGAGGGAAGTATAGTAATGGTGAAAAAGTCACCCTCCGAGATATTTTAAATTTTCACGTTTCGAGGTCGCTAGATTATGAAAAACATGTTTTTCCATTCCGTCGGTCTGTCTGTTGGCACGATAGCTCAAAAACGGCTGTAGAGAAAAGCTTCAAATTTTGTATACAGATAAGGTTCCTTTTTGGCTCAAAACCAGTTATACTTCCGGCCAGTTATATACAGAGTGAGCAGTTTTAAAGAAATAATTTATTTTTAGAAGTAGGCAGATTTCGACTAAAATTGGTATCTGAGTATTTTAGAAGTCAAAGATAACAGATCCCAAATTAGTTTTAAAAAAATTAAAATGGCGTTGAAAGGAATCGTATTTAATAAAAAAAGGTCACCCTTGATGTAAATATTAAAAGACGCCATTCTAGTTTGTATAACTGGGCCACTTTAAAAGCAGCCAATCATTAGCTTCGACCTCGGAGCCGATTCCGAACGTAATTCCCACTTCGCGTCCACTCGGTGTTCTTCGTCACATTCGTAAAATGTAAGTGCTTAGGAGTTCCCTGTTTTTACAATATGTAGATCTAGGAAAGTTCTGGGTAAAATACTTTACCGACTTTTTAATTTGCACAAATTGTTAGTTTTTATGACATAGTGTCATATTATACCTATCTCGTGTAAGAATGATTTTATTTTCTATACAAATTTAATAAGTTTTATTTTACGAAACACTCGATTTTAAACGCACGAAATATTTGTCTTCCAAAACAGTCACAGCCTATGTTTATGTTAACACTATTAATCATTTAAAATTTGAGTTAGTTGCTTTGCGGAACAAAATTAAAGTTCGTTCCAATAATAATAAACTAGTGAATAATTTTGTGAGTGGCTGTTTGCAGAATAGGGTGAGTTTTTCTCACTGAGTAATTATGTTTTATCAATTAGTTTTGTTTTAATTTGTAATCAAGTTATTTTGCAAATTATATTACCCAATTATTATCCATTAACCTTTTATAGTTAATTTGTCAATTCTGACGTAAAGATATTTTGTCAAGTATTGAGAGAACCTTATATCCTAAATTAAATGGGTTATATTAAATAATTAAATCTTATTTGACTGTTTACTTATATTTTGTTTTCCTCTACAAGGTGTAATCAAAAGTAAAGTGAGTTACATTGTCTATTGTGGCGTAGTATATTGCGCTCAGTGTATGCGTTAATTTTGGAATTACTGTGGTCAGTTTTCCAGAGTCGCCGTACCATGGTTGTTGCGGGCTAGTGACATTGCGGTCAGTGTGCTAGTAATGGCTTAATTTATATATCGATAGATAGTTTGGGTATTGCGGTCAGTGTCAACAGAATTGAGAATCTAACTTTGTGTCAATTATGGAAAATTTAAAGTTGTGTCGATTATATATATTTTTTTAATCAATATTTTGACATAAAGAGTTATCAATGTAATTTTCTGATTAATTAAAAGGAAGTATTTTGTTTAAGAATATCAATTAAGTATATTATCTATTTTTAACCGACTTCAAAAAAGGAGGAGGTTATCAATTCGTCGCGATATTTTTTTTTTTTTTTTATATGTATGTTCAGCGATTATTCTTTAACACAGTGTCCGATTTCAATGATTCTTCTTTTGTTAGAAAGGGGGTACTTCAGGGGTGGTCCCATATAAATTTGGTTAAAATCTAATAATTGGATCCATGGGAAAATCCTCAAACTCTTCATTTTTTATGTATGTTTAGCGATAATATGCTTTACCGCATCTTGTCCGATTTCTACGATTGTTTTTTTGTTAGTAAGGGGGTACCTCAAGGGAGGGTGGTCCCATGTAAAATTGGTTAAGATGTGGTGACGGCATCTGCACGTTTTTGAAGTCGGTTTTTTTAAATTTTTAATTTCTAATACTTGTATTTTACTATTATTTTATTTACGTTTTATTGTCTTTAATCATTTAATACTTATTTCTCTATTTTATTTTGTTCTAAATTTTACCTTCCAATTTAAAGTTAATAAATCTTTTATTGAATTAATTTCTAGTATTTCCTGACATTGATTAAATAACTAAATATTTTCGCCCAAGTTTACAATAGATATTTTTAAATTACAAATATCTTCCTATACTCGTAAGTTTATTGTTGTTATATATTTTTTGCTACCTTTTATTGTGACGACAATATAGTAGGATGTATTATACCCCTGGAAAGGTCTCCATGAGCTGAGTTTAAAAATATAATTTTTATAAAACTGCATTATGCCGATAGTAATTTCGGGTGGTAATCCTCTCGCTTACCTGCCCAAAGCAAAGGGCCCATCTAATGGTAATCTTTATGAATTTTGGAATGTACCTGAAAATCCAAACAAAATTGGAGCCGCAAGCCGTAAGGTAAATTATAATAGTATTTTTTTTTGTTCTTCTCATTTCAAGTATAATTTTTTGCGAAGCAGCCCGCTATAGCTCCAGGCCGCCCAGGTTTGGTAATTTAGTTTTTTATTTTTTTATAATTTTTTTTATGTAAATTTATCTGCAAAGCAATCCGCCTTGGTAGGTAGGTATTTTTTTTAGTTATAGTTTATAAGTAATAGTATGAAGTACCTATATTTAAATTGTACATATGTTCTCCTTTTTGTCTTTGAGTTTGATTAAATAAAGAAAGTTGTAGCACTTTAGAACCTTGTATTTTATTTTACCTGTTCCTTTCGGCCGAAAATACTTATACGATAAGAACGAAGACTTAAATCACCGGCTGAATTTACATGTTAACTTTAAATTACTGTCCTGATTCCGGCCGAAATTACATCCGCCCGCTAGAATATAGATTTATTTTTAACTGATTCAATTTGACAATGTTGTAACTAATTGCAATTATTGTATTGGTTATTTATGAAAACAAAAATAGTATTTTAATACCAATTTACTTCTATCTAAATGTCTATTTGAACGGATATGGGAAGGTTTCCTTAGAAAACTAAAGACTGTTATTGTTTTTACGTAAATAGGATTAAAAAATCCGATGCATTACGGGTAATGACCTACTTCATTATGTAGAAGATAGAGGCTCGCTTTTTTGAGGTGAATAGGTACATTTAGAAGGAGGGGTAAAAAGGTCAAAACGTACCCGTATTTCGGAAATCACCTAAAATTGATTTTATATGACTTCAGTGATTTTGCAGAAAATACCTTTTAATTTTATACGATGACTCTTTTGACTTTTCCCTTGTTTTTTGATCCATAAACTGCTACATTTATATTTTGAGCGACAAATTGATTTCGAAGTGAGCTCGGTGATGATTTCGGCCTTAATTTTTAATGATTTTAGACATTTCGAGAAAATTTGTAGTGATTTCGAGTAAAAACGTACCAGTATTTCGGGAGTAGTTCACTCCTCGATCTAGAGCCACATTCATAAGGATACGAAAATAGGTAAGGAGTGACAAATATTTTCTGATCTCAAAATTCTTTTTTTAAAAAAATATTTAAAAATTTTACAAGTTTTATTTCATCTAACATAATACATCTAACTACCAAGAGATCTAATTAACAAGTAAATAATTCACATAAAAATGTTGTAAACCAGAATAATGAAATAAAATACGCGATAAGAGTTTCTAGGAAAAAAGTCGTTGACTCTTCAATTCACAAAAGGAACGTTGAGTAATTAGTGTTAATTTTTATTTTTCTGCAGCATCACGCATCAGTTCTAATCAATTTGCGTTGTAGATTTATTTTTTACAACTTTCTGACAGTGCATTATAATAATCACAATTTATATTTAATTATTTACAACTAAAACTG